TGCAGAGTCGCTCGCTTTATTTTTTAATTCCAAAAAGAGGGACATCTCTGAAAGTGGATTCTAGCAACCGGTTTTGTCCATTGCAAAGCCATTTGACACCCACCTCCCGACCTAAGCAAGCATGCTGTGGGATCCACTTGTGGCCGGGCTCTACAAAGAATTCCCGAGCATGTGACTTTTCTTTTTTTTTTTTTTAAGGCGGTTTTGTTTTTCCTTTGTTTGTGTCTTGGCACGGGAACTCCCAGAATGCCTTGCTTTGAGCCTTGGCTCTGTGCGTCTGCATCTCCTTCGCGGTGTTAATATTTAATGTTCTGCCTGCTGGGGCCGCGAAGACTTGGGGGGAAGGTGGATGAACGGCCATGTAGAAAAAACCCAGAGCTGCAAATGGCTGGTTTCTGCAGGTGGCTGAAAGGGATTTGTGGCAGGGAAAGTCTGGGGAGAGAGAAAATGATTTCTTCTCTTGCTCGTTCCTCAGCACCTAGGATTATGGTCTCTTGCTCTTTCTTATACATACACTTGTGTTACAGGGAGGTCTGGCACATGATACATGCAAGAGAGAGAGGCGGTTGCACCCTTCAGATGTTTTGTTTTTGCAGGCTGGCTTCATTCTCTGTGAGTTTTTGGGTTTTTTTGCCCTTCATAAACAATGAGCTCAAATTTGACATCCAGGCAGCCCCAGAGTTCTGCAACAGCCCGAAAATGCAGCAGTATTTTTGTTTGTTTACTCTGTAGTCTGCTGTTCACACTGAGACTCAAGGCGGATGACACAGTTTAGGCGAGTGCCGTCAGTACAGGATTACTGCGGTCTGCAACAGGGCATAAGGTATTAAGCATGATATAATTAAACAACGTAGAGAATGGTATTACGTAAGTATAAAAATAAGAACATAAGAGAAGCCAATGTTGGATCAGACCACTGGCCCATCCAGTCCAGCACTCTGTCACGCAGCGGCCAGAAATACCAGGTTCCATCAGGAGGTCCATCGGTGGGGCCAGGACACTAGAAGCCCTCCCACTGTTGCCCCCCCCAACACCAAGAATACAGAGCATCACTTGCCCTAGACTGAGAGTTCCTATCTATACCTTGTGGCTAGTAGCCACTGATGGACCTCTGCTCCATAAAGCATCCAAAAGTATGATAATACAGATAGCCAGGGCTATTTTTGGGCAGGAACGCACAGGAACGGAGTTCTGGCTGGCTTCCGAGTTGGCCACACCCAACAGCAGGAACTCATTAGGATTGGCTACATTAGGGGTGTGTGACCTAACATGCAAAGGGGTTCTTGCTACAAAAAAAGGCCCTGGGTTTTGACAACAAACAAGGTAAACAGAATAAGAAGCAAAAGGTGGGTGTGGCTGGATGACCACACTTCTGGTAACATGGGGTGTGTGGCCTAATATGCTAATGAGCTGTATTGTCATGGGTGTGGCCTATTATGCTAATGAGTTCCTGCTGGGCTTTTTTTTTTCCAAAAAAGCCCTGCAGATGGCAGAAAGATCAACAGCGCCACACACTCCCATTTATAAAAGTTCCTTCCTTGAACGATTTTGTGATACTATAGCTTTATTCTCTTTATCGAAATGCCCTCCTGAACAAGTCTGTTCTGCGTAGTTTGAGGAAAGGCAGAAGGCTGGAGGCCTCCTGAGCAGGCAGGCAGGCCATTCCGCAAAGTCGGGGGTGGGGGGGCCCACGTAGGAAAGTCGGGGGTGGGTGGGGCACGTAGGGTGACCAGTCTCCAGGGGGTGGCTGGAGATCTCCTGGGGTTACATCTGATCTCCTGGCGACAGAGATCAGTCCCCGTGGTAAAAATGGCTGTCTTGGAAGGTGGACTCCATGGCATTATACCCCACTGAAGTCAAGCCCCACCCCCCTCAGGCTCCACCCCCAAAATCTCCAGATCTTTCCCAACTCCAAGCTGGCAACCCGGCAGCCACAACAAGTTCCTCTGCACTCTTGAGGAGTGGCATCGATCTGTGGGTTGCGACAGGGAATCCTGGCAGCCATAACCACTGGGAGCTTAAAACTGAGGTGCGAAGAAGAAGGGATTGGATTTGTGGAGAGGGGAAGGGAAAGGAGTTTGTAAGCTGCTCTGAGACTTTGGGTAGTGAAGGGCCAGGGCATAAATCCAGTCTGTTCTTCTTCAAAGTGTTGCATACCTGTGTGCATACTGGAATATTTAGTTAATGGATGTTCCTCGAACAAAGAATTTGTACAGATGACAGAGATTGTCTCCGTAAGTGTGAGTGCTGGCCCGCCTACAGCTTCCGTCAGTGCGGTGAGGATCCTTCTTGGTTTGTTCCCATCCAGTCATAATAAATATATTGACGCATGGATGCATTGTGAAATCCTGCTGGGCAGGTGAGCTGGTCGAGTATACTGGTTGCACTGGGGCCTCACCTGGTCATGAAGTTCATCGGGTGGCCCTGGGATCGTCACCCTCTTAGGCCTAACGAGGTTCGCAAGATTTTTGTGAGGATAAAAGAGAAGGGCGGGGAGACAGTGGGATGAAAATGTGTGAGTTGTAGATGGTATTAGTGACCGTATGGTTGTGTGCCCACGGTGTACCCATTTAGACACACTAAATATTCATCTCTCTCTTCCTTCCCGCATGAAAGTTGCATAATCCGAACACATGTAAAATGGTGCATCCATGCAATATCTTTTTGTAGAAATCTGCAGGACGTATTTTAGCTACCCAAATCCCTCTGTGGAGCTAACTCCTGAGAGTTGGGCTGGGATGCTGCCTGACTGTCCGGCAGCCAATCATGCGCTTCCCCCCTAACCTACCTTAAAGGGTTGTTGTGTAGATAAAATAGGTGGGGGCAGACCTGGCAGGCTGCCTGAAGCTCCTCAGAGGAACAGCGAGATAAAGAGAGACAGCGGGATAAAGATGTCGTAAATGACCGGAACAAGTGGGGAGTGCTGTATCCACCACAGCCCCTGCAGATGTTGAGGTTGGCTGGAGGAGAGGGGTCTTGGGTGCAGAATCGAAGAAATCTCAGATTCCCCTATGAGTGGGTGACCTCCTGGCACGCTTTAAAAGGAAACCTTGGTTGGTATCAGGGTGAGGTGCGCATCCAAGTTTTATTTCAGATAACACAGGCTTTCTGGATTGATCGCAACCAGTCCGTCAGGGATTTCTCACCCTCCTGCATGCTCTCTGCCTTATGGGGTGCATGAGCAAAGAGGGTGCTTCCCACGGTATAATCTTGCCTCCATTTTTGGTTGGCCTCTTGTGTTGTGCAAGGGTGCTGAGACATCCTTCTCGGAGAGCAAACGAGTCCTGTGTTCAGAAGGCACATTTTCATTTACAGCTCGGATCTGATGTGTATGGGGGGTTCCCATTTAGTTTGTTGCAACGTTATCGAGTAGAGTTGTCTTTAATTTTTGCTCTGGGACCCTATACTGAAGTATCTTGCCGTAAACACCCGATTGGTCTGTCCAGTGCAGTCTGTAACCAAACGCTTCAATTGCAGATTTAAATTTGCCTGTGCTGCCCTCTGTCTGGGCACTGAAGACAGGGCTCAGCTAGAACCCGCCCCTTCTGAAGTATTTAGGAGCTTGGGATGTGGAGGGGGGAGCATGTGATGCTCCAGAGGGGGCTGCACTGTGCAGGGTTTGGTTGCGTAGTGTGCACCAGCCAACAAAGGCAGAGCATACAAGATTGTAACTTTTAGAGGGTCCAGCCAGTGTCGGTGAGGCTGTAGATTGGATGGCCCAGATTTGGGGTGAGGGCCCAGTGGGGCAATTTTGGACCCCCACTGTACAATTCGAGGATCCGACAGAGGGTTGTGAGTAGAGATGTAAAATTTCCGGAAATTTTGAAGCTTGGGGAAAAAAACGGTTTTTTTCCAGAAAAAAATGGAAATTTTCGGAAAAATTGAAAAAAATGCTACATTAGCCTTTCTTTTTTCTTTTCTAGATTGAAAGTCATTCTGTTACTTTTGGAACATAAAATATGACTATGGACATTTTTACGTGGCATGAAATTATCACAACTAGCATATTAAAAATATAGTGTATCCAAACAATTATTACAAACAGAATACCCGCCCACATGCAAAAACAAGACTGAAACCTTTTTATTTTCTTCTGACAATAGCACCTCCTAAAGGAAGAAATGCATCTTGTTCTTGCATTGGAGAGTTCAGTTTGTAACCTAGGACTTGCTTGTACGCAGTGCAGAGAAATTAGATCAATCTTGATACCATATATATATATATACATGCAAAAGACCTTGAAACGCTGGGCGGGACTGCACAAAGCAGCCAGTCAACCCAGCCAGCGTCTTCTGAGTGACAGTTCTTCCGGCCAAACACTAAAGGGGCCAAATTTAGAACGTTGCAATATAGAACGTTGCTGTTCAATTATAATAAGGGAGATATATATATATATGAATGAAATGATTTGAAAAATATTTGAACACCTTGTCTTAAAATATTTTATTCATCATGTTAAAATAAAACGTTCCATAATCAATTTTTTTCTTTTCTTTTCTTTTTTCAATTTTTCCAATTTTTCGGAAAAAAACAAAAAAGCTTCTGGAAAAAAACGGAAAAAAACCGGTTTCCCCGTGAATTTTTCTGTTTTTTTTCCGGGCCTTCACATCTCTAGTTCTGAGTGTGCATACCGCCCCGGCACAATCAGTTGCCCTCTGGCATCTCCCTGCCAGGAACTCGTCTCTTTGTGCCCGCAAGAAACCGAGCTAGGTGTTGGCAGGTCTCAACCGCCTGGCAGCGATGCCTTGTGCAGTTGTGTGGGCGCGCGCTCTCCCCCTCCCTCTCCAAACGCCGAAGGGGCCATCCCATGCTGCTCGGCTGCCGAGAGCTCATTCATGCCGCCAGCCCTTGACGGGAAAGCAAAGCGGGGACCAGTCAGCTGTATGGTAATGGGGGAGAGTGGGGAGGGGGGCGCGGAGGGGCAGGGCCGGTCCACCCTTGGTGCCTCTGTCTTTGTCTGCTCGGTACATCGGTTTTCCTCTCCTTGTTCTCCCACGCAGAGGCCGGACGGGACCGTGTTCACACACCTCCGGACACCAGCAGCCCCGGCATGACCTCGGGGAACGGGAACTCTGCCTCCACCGTCGCCGGCACTGCCCCCCAGAACGGTGAGAACAAGCCTCCCCAAGCCGTCGTGAAGCCGCAGATCTTGACCCACGTCATCGAGGGGTTTGTGATCCAAGAAGGGGCCGAGCCGTTCCCGGTACGCACTGCCTCTGCACCGCAGGGATAACTTTTTGTTTTATTTTGCATGCGTGTCTTTTGAAGTGACTGGGGGTGTTAAAATTACCAGGACAGGAAACTTGGGCGAAGGCAGGAGTTGGGCGCGGGGCGGGCAGGGGATAATTGTCTTTCTGCCGCTGGTTACTGGGCGGTTCTGTTGAAGGGATATCTGGGGAGGGAACGGGAAGGTAACCCCACTGTGATGCAGACAAGGACGGGTGTGAGGGCAACATTTGATCTGGGAGATCCTATTTGCTGCTGCAGAAGTTTGGGCAAGGTGGTGGTGGAGGAGGGGGGGGGGAGAGAAATATTTTAACATTGAAATTCCCCAAGTTTGGTCCTCCGCTTGGAGCATGTTCTGAAATAGCTGGGAGCCAGGCTTCACTTTAGTGGGTAAAACTTGACCACTGGGAAACACCCCCCCCAAAAAAAATGTATTTCTAGTAGGCTTTGTATGTTTGGGCCACACAGCTAACCATTTCCCTACCGCAGCTGTCTGTCAAGGCTTTGTTTTTCCCTCATCCTGCAGGGTAAAAGCCACAGGGGGGCGGGGTTACCCCACAAGCCACCACTTGGCGACCCTCTGACGATTCCGCCTCGCCCATCTCTGTCCTCTTGCCAGGTGGGGCGCTCTTCGCTGCTCGTGGGGAACCTCAAGAAGAAATATGCCCAAGGCCTCCTGGCCGAGAAACCCCAGCAGCAGCAAGACAACACGACCACCACAGACTCCGAAATGGAGGAACCCTATTTGCAAGGTGTGTGTGTGTGTTCCTTTGGTGCCAGGTTGAAGGACTGGGAATCCTGCAGTGCTACAAAAAGGCAGGGATGGAGTGACTTGCAGCCCGGGTTTTCCCCTCCCTGGTCAGCGAGGGCTGTCAGTCTGTCCCAGGGCTCCCAAGTACTTACCTTAATTCAGCGGAGGATGTATAGTTCTTCGCGGGACCATTCCCGTAGGGAAAACACAGGCGCTGCACTATTCCGTCGCCCTGACGTGACGTAGGCACGTAGCTGGGCAACGCTCTAGCAATGGGGCTGGGAACTTGATGGTACCATTGAGTTTCCAGTCCCATTACCAGAGCGTCACCCAGCTACGTGCCTACGTCACGTCTAGGCGACAAAATAGTGCAGCGCCTGTGTTCCAAGCAAGAATCTTCCGGCGGGGAAGCATGTGTCCCCCGCCAGATCGTAGGTAGGTACTTGGGAACCCTAGTCTGTCCCTTGCATGTCAAGGATCTATGAGGACTCCCAGTCAGGGTTCAACTTGTACCTGGGGCTGCTTGGTGTAGTGGTTAAGTGCGCGGACTCTAATCTGGGAGAACCGAGTTAGATTCCCCACTACTCCACATGCAGCATGCAGTTGTGACCTTGGGTCAGTCCTAAGTTGTTTCAGAGCTGTTTTCTCACGAGCAGTTCTTGGAAGAGCTCTCTCAGCCCCACCTACCTCACAGGCAGTGTTCCCTCTAAGATGAGTTAGTGTGAGCTAGCTCGAGGTTTTTTAGCCTCCGGCTCACAGTTTTTTGTCTTGGCTCAGGGAGGATGGCTCCAGAGCAAACTAATTTATGCAGTCGCCAAATCACTCACTCACAACTTTAATGCCTGTAGCTCACAAAGTAGAATTTTTGCTCACGAGACTCCACAGCTTAGAGGGAGCCTTGCTCACCGGGTGTCTGTTGTGGGGGAGAGGAAGGGAAAGGAGAGCCACTCTGAGACTCCGAGTGAAGGGCGGGGTATAAATCCAATCTCTTCTCTTCCCTCTGTTCTTATAACTGTTCCTGGAAGGATGGAGAAGTGTGTTTGGGAGTGGGGCACGGTGCTGTCTGTTTTCTAAAAGAAAAATGCCTCCTTCAGTGTGGGCCAGACGAAACCCTGCCCTAAACTTTCAAACTTCCTTCTGGAAAGTCTTAGAAGATTCCTTGAGGGTTTTTCATTGCTTAAATCTTGCAAGGATATAATCAACTTTTGGAACTCCCTGTCACAAGAGGGGGGGGGATTAGCCACTAGCTTGCTTGACTTTCAAAAAGAGGACTAGGTAAACTCATTGCAGGAGGAGGATAGGTTTTGTTTTAGCTGTCACAGATGAATTGGGACCTCTCTGGTTAGAGGCAGTCTACCCCTCTGAGTATCAGGCGCTGTGGAGCCTGCCAAACGGCCCTGTCCCAGAGGCATCTGCCCGCCTGTTGCTAAGAGCAGAAGTGGATAGATCCTGGTCTGGTCCAGCGAGGCAATTCTCCCATCTGTTCACTTGGTGCAGCGTGGCTGAACCAAGTCTGTGTAAAGTGTGGCTCCCTTTAAGTCAGGTGGTGGGCCAAGGGGGTGCTTTTAATCTATGCACGCCCTGTAGAAAAACTAGCAGAGTGAGAGATGTCTATTGCAAGGTAGAGTGCCCCGCTAAGGTTTCTGACATGTGGTATTTATTGGATGGCTGTATGCTTGCTAGCATGGAAGGCCTGTTTTTGAGTCCTGCTTTGTGGTACGGACTCGCTGCACGTTCCGGGGCGTGTTCTTGGCTGTCCTTCCCCCCCGTGGCAGATAGGCAGGAATGATGGTGCATTCACCGGTTGTGGGTCTGGAAATGAATTTACAGGGGACGGAAGGCCTTTTTCTCCATGTGACTGTTCGCACATGTACTCGGATATAAGTTCCACAGTGTTCAGGCCCAGACTGAATATGCAGAGGACTGTAGCCTTTTTGGCAAGCTGAGATTTTTTTTAAAAAAAAATCGCATGTAAGTATTCATGCAGAGTGGCCCTTAATGTAAAAAGTGGTATTCCCAAATGAAACCAGTTTAGGAGACGAGAAACACAATTAAAGTGGGACCTAATTTAAGAAAAATGATATAAAGAATGTAGGTTGGAGAAGAACGCCCAAACCCTCCCAGAAACACTAGAACACAGGAGCCAACCAGTGGAATTGCTTGGTAATATGGTAGGAGAGACCAGAGGAAAATTGCTTTATACAGGACACAAGTGAATAATTCTGGAACTCTCTGCTGCTAACGAGATTGGTCAAACATGAAGAAGTCCACTTAACTGTGGTAGAGAAACGGAACCTCCATGTCCCAAGGCAGTATATCTTCATGCAGGATGCCAGGGGAGGTTCCCTCATTCATGGCTTTGGGGAGGGAGGGGCCTTCCCAAAGGCATTTATTTGCCTAAACACGGTTGGAAACAGAACTCTGGGCTAGATGGACCTTTGTTGTGATGCTGTCGAACAGGGCTGGCTTTCTGCGCATCAAGAGTGAATCAGATAAGAGAGCCGGGATTGGTCTGCCCTCCATCCAAACACTTCTTGCTCTCCTTTCGCAGAATCCAAAGAGGAGGGGTCACCCCCGAAGCTGAAATGCGAGCTCTGCGGCCGCCTCGACTTTGCGTACAAGTTCAAGCGGTCCAAGCGCTTTTGCTCGATGGCATGCGCCAAGAGGTAGAGTCCAGCTCGGGAGGGGCTGCTTGGCTTGCTCCCCCCCCCCAAATCCAGACTTGTCGACTTGGGCAGGGTGCACCTCCCTCCGCCTTGGAACACCTGGGGCCCAGCCACGTGACTGTAGAGGCTGACCTTCGTTCCCGTCCCTCTGCAGGTACAACGTGGGGTGTACGAAACGAGTGGGGCTCTTCCACCCCGACCGCAGCAAGCTCCAGAAACCCAGCACGCCTTCACACGGCCGGCGTCGGACCTGCAAGAGCACCCTTCCGCCTCTCAGCAAAGAAACCAAGAAGCAGGTAACTGTTGGGGAGGACCGGCCTCGAGGTGCCGGTGTCTGGAGTCAGGGCGTCTTTGACCTAGGGCGGCTAGATTCGAATCCAGAAGCCCCTTCCAAGACCAACAAGATTTTCCGGGTAGGAGCTTTCAGGAGGTCAAAGCCCATCTCTTACCTGGCGAAGGCAGTTTTGGCCCTTGGAAGCTTATAGCCTGAAACATAAGACCGTGACGACCTGGCCACAGTGATCCATGCGACGCTCACCTCAAGGTTAGACTACTGTAATGCTCTCTACATGGGGCTGCCTTTGTCGCAAATTCGGAAGCTGCAGCTAGTGCAGAATGCTGCTGCCAGGCTGTTGATGGGTCTCCCTAGACGGGATCACATCCAGCCTGTGCTGAAAGCGCTGCATTGGCTGCCAATGGCGTACCGGATTCGCTTCAAAGTGCTGGTTCTTACCTTTAAAGCCCTATATGGCCAGGGTCTGGCCTACCTAAGGGGCTGCCTTTTCCCCCATGTTCCCCCAAGGGCACTACGGTCGGGGACCCAAAATCTCCTGGATATTCCAGGCCCCAGGAACATCAAACTCACTATGACCAGGGCCAGGGTGTTTTCAGTGGCGGCTCCTACCTGGTGGAATGAGCTCCCAGAAAAGATCCGGGCCCTGCGGGACCTTGGGCAGTTCCGCAGGGCCTGTAAAACGGAGCTCTTCCGCCAGGCTTTCGAGTAGGAGCCGCCGCCACCATTATTCCACCAACGCTTTTCCATCACCGCACCGCACGATGCGGATATTATCGGGGGGTGCGAGACGTACCTGGCAGATGATAGGATTGTGGGGACATACGATCATTGTATTATTATAACGTCTGTAGAACACCATCTTGATTTTAGGAATTGGCGCGAGCAGTGGAGCACCGATATTTTATTAATTGTATTACGTTGTATATTGTATTGTATTTTTATACGGTTCTTATTGTTTTTATTAGGCACTTGTGCCCCTGTTTGCCGCCCTGAGCCTCCGGGGAGGGCGGGATACAAATGTGAAGAATAAAAAAATAAAGATAAAATAAGCAAAGCCAATGTTGGATCGGGCCAGTGGCCCATCCAGTCCAACACTCTGTCAGACAGTGGCCAGAAATACCAGGTCCCATCAGGGGGTCCAGCAGTGGGGCCAGGACACTAGACACCCACGGGCACCACACTGAGGACCCTGATGTAGGTGACGGCGGTGGAAGCCAAGTCTAGTTGTATACAAAGGAATGCTGACAGAAGCACATGTAGATCCTCCCAATATATGTGATCACCATGGTATCGAAACAAGGGCAATGCATATATTTTGCATGTATGTACAGCTTCAGAGCATGCTACATGAAACTGATAAATTGGGAGGGGGATTTTTAAACATAAGAACATGAGAGAAGCCAGTGTTGGATCAGGCCAATGGCCCATTGAGTCCAACACTCTGTCACACAGTGGCCAGAAATACCAGGTGCCATCAGGAGGTCCAGCAGTGGGGCCAGGGCACTAGAAGCCCTCCCACTGTTGCCCCCTCCCCAGGCACCAAGAATACAGAGCATCACTTGCCCCAGACTGAGAGTTCCTGTCTATACCGAAGGTGCTACTGGACATGACTCTGAACTGTTCTGCTGCAGTCCAACAGGGCTACCCTTTGCCACTTTAACTCAGAGGGGCACTTTTGGAGCTGCCCAACAGCTGCATTGCAGTGGATGTGGCAAGAGCCATACCCTTTGTCTTCAGATTTTCCATAGAGTTGTGAGGGGCATTAGAGGGCATCTAGTCCTAACCGTCAAGGGGTAACCGCCTAGGCAATTGGTTTCTTCCATCTTGGAGTTCTTAAGGGCTCAAGAATAGATGCATTTGCTTACAGGGCATCTAAAGGGTGTCTGCTGCTGCGCCTTATAAAACCCTCTACAAACTGATCTGATCAGTCAGCGATCACCTAATTCAACTGGCCTGTGTCCGACCCTCTGCAGACATTCTGCAGGAACCCCACTCTCCCTCCCCCAAATTGTTGTCCTGTTGGAGGTCTACAAGCAGGGGGAATCGGCAGAAATTGTCGCCCCCCTTTTCTACAAACGGAAATGCCTTTCTGTTGAAGCATTGCACGGCAGGATACATGCCACGGCTTTCTTTGATTTCTGACACTGGGAATGAGGTTCTGGGGTCCACTCGGAGCCCTCAGAAATGGGCAGAGAACCAGATGTGGCCCCCTCTCTCACTCTCTGTGGCGCCCAGGATGTTCCATAACACACGTTTCGCATTCAGAAGGTCCCAGGTTCAGTCCCCCTGTATCTCTGGTTGACCCTGAGGCCTGGTACCGTGTTTCCCCGAAAGTAAGACTTCCCCCGAAAATAAGACCTACTTACAGTTTTGCCTCTTGCTGAAATATAAGGCACCCCCCTGAAAATAAGACCTCCCCGATAATAAGGCCTCTCCCGAACATAAGGCACCCCCGATAATAAGGCCCCCCCGAAGCTACCGTAACTCTGGACTCTGGGCCGTAACGGCGGGTGCTGCCACGCAGCTCACTGTTGGCCGCTGTGCAGTCGGAGCAGACAGGAAGTGCGAGGTCTCTTAATCAGTGAGCCCGCGCTGCCACCAGGACAAGGTGCCGCCTGCTGCTCGCTCTGCCCTGACGGAGTGTACCATGTTCTTCTTCGTGGAAAAATAAGATATCCCCCGAAAATAAGACCTAGCGCTTCTTTGGGAGCAAAAATTAATATAAGACACTGTCTTTTTTTCGGAGAACCAGGGTAGAAGGATCATAAGAACGTAAGAGAGGCTAATGTTGGATCAGGGCAATGTCAGACAGTGGCCAAAAATACCAGGTTCCATCAGGAGGTCCAGCAGTGGGGCCAGGACACTAGAAGCCCTCCCACTGTTGTCCCCCCCCCCCCGATCACCTGTTGTTGATCCAGATGGGCCTATTCTTCAGCGGCCACTAAGACTTCTTCTTGTCTTCCTTGTGTCCCCAGGCGCCATCCTCGCTGGCACCCAGCTCCGGGGCCATCTCTGTCACTGGCTCACTGCAGCTCAGCCACGCCCAGGAGGACTCCAGCCGCTGCTCAGACAACTCCAGCTATGAAGAGCCCCTCTCCCCTCTCTCAGCCAGTTCGTCTGCCTCCCGCCGGCGCCAGGGGGAGCGGGACATAGAATTGCCCGACATGCATGTCCGGGACCTAGTGGGCATTGGGCACCATTTCCTGCCCAGCGAGCCCACCAAGTGGAACGTGGACGATGTCTACGAGTTCATCCGCTCCTTGCCAGGTGAGGCTCACGGTGGCAGGGAGGGCCCGTGGCTTTGCTGACTCGAGGAATGAGACTTTGGAATTTCTCCCTGGTTAGACAAAAATGAGCCAGACCAGGGAAAGCTTGGCGGAAAAGAAGAAATTAACAAAATCTGTCCCGTTTCGATCTCCTTATGAACCCAATAGTAAGCACACCATGGCCCAGTTTCCCCCATTTTTTTTAGAGGATTCATTTCAACATTGGGTCAGATACACATGAAATACTTTGAGCAGGTGTACGGTGGACAGGCGGAGCAATTTCACAGAGCATAATCATCAGGGTTGTCATTAAAGCGACCTGATTCCTGGCACCACCTTAGAAACAGGCTGATCTCCGTCGTGGTCTCCAGTGAGCTTTAAATTAAAGGAAAGGCTTTTGTTAATAAGCAGTTAATATTTCTAATCTGACTGAATGCTGCAGCCCTTTGTGGTTAGGTTCACCCTCTGTGTTCAGTGCCTGCCATATCTATTGTGCGGGTGGTACCATTGCCCACCTTAGTGGGGAGGGCGAGATATAAATCAAATAAATAAACAAAATTGCTGTGCCCCCCAAAAAACTTCTAGCCTAGGACATGGGTAGCCCATGTTTCCATCTCAGTTTATGGTCAGTGCTCCCTCTAAGCTGAGTTAATGTGAGCTAGCTCACAGTTTTTCAGCCTCTGGCTCACACATTTTTGTCTTAGCTCAGGAAGGAGGGCTCCAGAGCCAACTAATTTATGCAGCAGCCAAATCGCTTGCTCACGACTTTAATGCCAGGAGGCTCACAAAGTAGAATTTTTGCTCACACGACTCCCACAGCTTAGAGGGAACATTGTTTATGGTATTGTTCTTGCTGTTATGCTTGCATCCCATTAGGTGTTAGGCAGCTTGAGAGGAGCAGGAAGAACATTAAATGTAGTCCTCTGAACACTGCATTGGTGCTGTCACAGAGCATGTGGCGCACACAGGCACAGGTGGGATTGCTTGCAAGCATAGGCGGGATGCTGCAGTGCTGAATGTCAGGCTAGGAGCCGGGTGACCTGGCTTCAGTTTCTCACTGGTCTGTGCCATGGGAGTTTGCTGGGTGCTATTGCGTTTGGTTGGGAGAGAATGGCTTGCCCACCTTGCAGGGTTGATGTGAGGATAAAATGGAGGGAGGGGCGAGAACAGTGTGGAGGAAAGAACAACGTATTAGATAAATGTAGTTTGGAATTTGTCATTTGGTTTTCTCCCCACCTTTCCGTGCACCTTGGTGTTTAGTCATGCCGGCCACATGACCACGGAAACGTCTTCGGACAGCGCTGGCTCTTCGGCTTTGAAACGGAGATGAACCCTAGAGTCGGACTCGACTGGCTTTCGAGCAAGGGAACCTTTACCTTTACTTTTCTCCCCAGTGGGGGGGAACCCAGGACAGCATATGATGCCGCTCTCCCCTCCACCGTCTTATTCTCACAATCACCCCCGTGTAGCTGAGGGAGTGTGGCAGGCCTAGTCTCAGCTTTTGTGGCAGGGGGGGGATTTGAACCTGGGTCTTTCCAGATCCTCGTCTACTAGAGAGGTGGCACCTTTCTGGCATATCCTTTTTTCCTCCTCATGCTTGGGCTTCTGGATCGGCGTGCCTGACTGTTGGCTCAGCTGGTTTGGTGCAATGGTTAAGAGCAGTGGACTCTAATCTGGGAGAACCGGGTTTGATCCCCCCACTCCGCCACATGACGCCAGCTGGGTGACCTTGGGTCAGTCACAAGTTCTCTCAGAGGTGTTTGCTGAAGAGCAGTCCTCGAAAGAGCTCTCTCAGCCCCACCTACCTCACAGGGTGTCTGTTGTGGGGAGAGGAAGGGAAGGTCATTGTAAGCGGCTCTGAGCCTCCGAGTGAAGGGCGGGGGCATAAATCCAATCCCCTCTTCTTCTCTTCATGGGTCGGAGCACCCTGGGAAATCTGACTGGGCAAACATTTGCTGTTTCCCCTTTTAGGTTGCCAAGAAATCGCCGAGGAGTTCCGTGCACAAGAGATTGACGGGCAGGCATTGCTACTACTCAAGGAGGATCACCTCATGAGCGCCATGAACATCAAGCTAGGCCCCGCCCTCAAAATCTACGCTCGCATCTGCATGCTGAAGGACTCCTAGAAGCGTCCAACCTGTCGTGCGGGGCTTGCAGGGATGCTTTTTTTTTTGGGTGGGTTTTTTTTTTTTTTTTGGAGATCAGACAGACTTTGACTGGCTTGGTTCTCTCTCTCCCCCACCCCCTTCTGCACCATATCTTGAGCACAAGCCACTCCCCCTGATGGGAAGCGGGGAGAGTTTTGGGTCAGGGTGTCTGGAAGATGAGGCTGTGGGGCTGTACATAATATGTAGCTTTAGCTTCCCTTTCTGCCTGCCCCCTCCCCAAACTGGGGGGGTAGGGAGAGACCTCCTTCACACCGATTGCTGAATCTCCTTTTCCCCGGGTGGCACCAATAACCCTCCCTTGGACTGGACAAAACCCTACTTGAAACCTCAAAGCCAAACAGGACAGTTGCCTTAAATTTGTTAGGGGTGTGTGCGTGTGTGTTAAGTGTTTGTGTTGCCACATAGTGCCCTCTCTCCCACCTCCTCCCCTTCCCTCGACAGCTTGTTGTTTCTCGTCTCTGGCCAGTTTTTCACAGCAGCCGAAGGGGTGTGTTTATGGGGTGGTGGGGGTATCTTTCCGTCTGCCCCGTGCTTCCCACTCGGAACATCCTTCCCTTCCACGTGTTTGGCAAAGCTGCTTGCGGGCATGGAGGGGGTGCGGTTGCTTTTCCTCCCTTCTTGTTTCTCTCTGGGGGGAGGGGCTGTTGCCAGCGACGAACCACAAGGACTGGCTTGGCTGCTCAGGAGTCCCCTCGCGGCTGCAGGTCTTCCTAGGAGGTGCCTCCGTGGTCAGTCTCAACTGGGGAGGGGGGACAGTTCTACATCTGCCTTCTCAGCCCAGCAGACGTCCGCACTCGTTACCGAGACACGGGGCAGGAGGAGCTGGTTCTCTCTCTGGAAGATGGGGCGGGCCTTGAGCAGGAGGAGCTCTCCATGGGTGATTGCGGGGAGGAAGAGATGGGGCAGAAGGGGCATGCAGCTGAGCTGTTTGCTCCCCCCGATGGTTTGTATGGGGGGAGAGTGTGGTGGTCCCTCCCTCCCCCGTCCCTCGGTGCTGGCCACTCACCGCAGCCTTTGGGGGCTGAAAACGAAGGACTTTCTACTCCCTCCCGTCGGTTTTTAATAAACTCCTTTAAAAAGAAAATCAAGCTTTTTTTTTTTGTGCCGTCGTGGTTAAGTGGGAGGAGTTGGTGGTTTGGGGCAGTGAGTGACGTATTCTCGGGTTTACGCCACAGGGAAAGCCGGCTGGTAAAGTAGATCCTTCGAAGAACCTCCAGCTGTTCTCTTGGAGCATCTGGGCGAACAGATTTTGATCGGTGTTTTGAAACCAATATATAAAAATACTTTTCCTTCTCCTTGGCCTTCTGCCCGATTTCTCCCTGGTTGGCATCTGCGCTCTGATGCTGGAGAGGCTAGGGCGCATACTTTGTTCCCAGAGGCAGTGGTCTATTTGGACTGTCTTACCTGAATGGAAGGTGAGGATGTACGGTATCAAATATGAGACTCAGTGCACTGTCCTGGTCCTCACCTGGATAGCCCGGTCTCATCAGCTCTCAAAAGCCAAGCAGGGTCAGCAGCTCTGGTCAGTACTTGGATGGGAGCCCAGCCAAGAGGACGGATTGCTGTGCAGAGGCAGGCCCCGGCAAACCCCTCCTGAACGTCTCTTGCCTAGGAAACCCTACAGGGTCACCATAGGAAGGATGCAACAGGATGGTACTTTCAACCACCAAGCCGTCGGAAGCGAACCTCATAGCAGAATCCCTGTTTTGGGCTTCCCGGGGTCTTGGGTCGAAAGCCTCAGGCCCAGCCGCTCTGCTTGGGCTGACACAATTTAAGAAACCGGCCAGCTGCAGATTCTCGCCAAGGGCTGACTCCGCGGTGGCATCCGGTTAGAAACCCAAGTGAAGACCAGGAGCAAGCCACCTCTCTTCTGCTCTGTTCCCCCCACCTTCGCTGCCACCATCCACCCGGAACAGAAGAGCGGGACTCAGCCAGTCCGGCCCAAGGTTGCAAAGACATTTTATTTCTTTTTTTCCACAACAGAGAAATACAAAGCAACTTCCCCCCCAAAAAAGAATCTCTTTTTTTCCATTGTTTAAACAATGCAAATGCCTTTCGGGAGCTGAGCTTGCCCCCCCCCATCTCTGTTACCACAATGCAAGACGTGGGAGGGGAGGGGTTGCGGGAGAAACCTTGGTGTGTGTTTTGTTTGTTTTTTCCTTCCTCTTTCCTCCCATTTTCATTATTAAGGTAATAACTAGGGTTCTAACTAGATGCGGCCTGGGCTTTTTATATAGAAAAAAAAATTGTGTTAACATTATGTATAAGAGTCCTATTTACATAGTTATTAACATGCGGACAAAAAAGGCTACAATATTGAATATCGTACAACATTAATTTAGAAACCAAGGGAGATGGGAAAGGGGGTGGGGGGGAGGGTGGGTTTAAAAAAAAGAGAGAGAGAATCAAATTAATATAAACAGTGATAAAAAGAACCTGGTATAAACAAAATGATATATCTTAAGGCTTAAAAAGTGTTTAAAAAAATTACAGTTGTCATATCCAAAACGGAACAGAAAAATACATAATAGAGGTGGTTTCAGTCTAGCTTTTTTTGGGGGGGCGGGGTTGTGCCCTCCCCCACATTTGCTTGGAGGGGAGATCATAAAACTGGCTGGGAGTTTCCAGAACTGGCGTGGCAGTAACATAAGAATGAATTTTATTGTTACGGCACTTAGCCAGCAATATAAAACCATAGGAATTAACATAGAAAGTTTAAGCTGATTAAATTTCTTTGATTCGGGGGGTGGGGGTGGGGGCTCTGAATTGGACTATAATGTAGTATCGTTGGGACTCCAGTGCAAGAGGCAGGAGATGGATCCCCAGTGCCAACTGTGGCACTAGCCAGTACCCGGGGGCCACTTAACTGTTCTTCGGCTGTGGAAGTGATGGGGGAATTCTCGAGTCTTCACCTGTGCACTTTCTCTGCCACCTGACGGGTTGACCGGCCATCAGCTGAGTGGCTGTCCGACAGATCAGGGTGAGGAAGGAGGCAGGTTGGGGGGGGGGGCAGCTAAGAGACACCTAACTCCTGATTAATCGAAGGAAAAATGAAGAGGCCCCGTGGCTTAGCATTGGCCATACAACCATTAGCCTGAGTTTTGGAATATGTCTGCAAAAATCAATTCGGTGAGGAGGATGAAATGGAAGTGCCTCCCACACATCTGGCTTAGACAAGGTGAGGGGGGAGGGTAAGGAGGGCATTACGGTACATTTTCAGGTTCCTTTGTTGCCTTCGAGCAACCTGTTCTGGAAGCCTCTGAGCTGGTCTTTTTTTTGGGGGGGGGGTTACTGCTAATTATCCAAGGAAACGGCTGCGTAGGCCTGGATCTTGGTTTGGCATTGCTGGAAAAGAAGCACTGCACTTGAGAAAGGTTCCCTAGCCAGAGCTATTCACCCTCCTCCCAAGCTTACCAAAGAGGCTGAAGCTTTAGCTCTTCTTCTCTCGTTCCTAGCTGAATGCAGAGGATCACTACTGACAGCTGGGCCCCCCCCCCCCCCCTGCAAGATGCTTTTGCATGGCACCCTGTGGTCTTTCCAGCAGAAGGCAAAAAAAAAGAAAAGCTGTGAGTTCAGATGTCTTGGCTGGCTTCTCAGGTGGTGAAACAGCAGGCCTTTCCCCAGTATAGCCAAGGGGTTATTAGTCAATCCCTAGCTGCAGGGTAGGTGATAAAAGTTGCAGGGTCCAGGCACTGGAACAGCCTACATGGGTTTTCCTAGAGGTGGGGTGGGGGAGTCCGGGAAAAATAAATAGCAATTTGTTAACTGGGAAACTGACCACTAGTTCAAAAGGTGTATTGAGAGCCCCTGGCCGACAAAAGGGCACGTCTCTGTTCGGATAAAGTGAAATGCAGGTGATGCTTTAGTGTGAGGCAGAGCAGAAAGCACTGGGGAAACGGCTCTATGCATGACCGGAGCATGTGTGGACTTGGAGAGACACCCTCCTCTTTTGCCATGGCACAGCCCAAGCCACCCCCTTCTTCCCGCAAGCTGCTAAAGCTGAGACAGTGCTAAGCCGAATGCCGTTTTTATCCATTTGCCTTCTGAAAGGGGGAGGCTCTTTCAGTTAATTCTCAAGGCTAAAGCGCAGAACATCTGCACAGATGTCAGTACTGCCTGCATTGTACAGTCACGGTTTTCTCCCGCCCGCTCTCCTCCGGGTTCTCTCCAGCTGTGTCACACTCTAGTCAATCTTCCAAAAGCTACTCTCTTTCCGGCTTCTTTCTAGTCCGGGGCACCCGCCCCCTCTCCTAAATCGCTCCAAGCAGGGGTTGCTGCAATCTGGCTCAATTTGGCAGCAGAGGCCACCCCCCCTCCCCGAGACCAGACACCTTCACATCGAGGGCCCTGTGACGGACGTCTTAGCGGCAGTTCGCCCCTGGCAAAGCTGCCGTTCGCCCTTGGCAAAGCCTCTGGGTGCCTCCGTGGATCCCATCCGTTGCCTCTCCAAAAGAGAGTCCAGAAAGGGTCGGTGCCCTCTTGGTAATTGCATCGAGTGTGCGGCCAATAAATTATAAGGTTGGTTTAGATCTCAAATTAAAACAAAGTGGGGGGGGGTAGACAAAACCTGGAAGGACAAACAGGACTGGGGCTTTAAAAAGGCTGGAGGTGATCCAAAACCAAGATGGGCTATGGGGATGTTTGGGGGGCGGGAGAGACACACACACAGAGGTTCAAAGTGCTCTGGAACGGTCTTTGGCTGCCACCAAGATTGAAGGAGGAACTCCCCAGCTCGGGGCGGGTCGCGTGTCCAGACTCTGTCTCTTTATCCTGGCCGTGGAGGGGGAGAGGCAGCGGGGGCACCCGAGGAGGCCGGGTTAGGGTGGTGGGGGGTGCCCGGAAGGAGCTGTGGTTCCTGTGATCCTATCCCAAGCTGTGCTGTCCTTCCCCCTCCGCTTTGCGATTCGAGAGGGGCCGCGCTCCCCAAGATTCAGATGAGAGAGATTCGCACTGGGATGCCGGGAGACTCCGTCCTTTGAGGAGAGTGTTGACTCACTAGATGTTCGACCACTGTGTGTTTGGACATGTGTTTCATCAAATAGGTCTCCTGTTTGGGGAGGAAAGAGAGAGAGGAAACCACATCAGGGGGGGGATCACAGACAGGAGGAGTCGGGCTCTCCTTGCCCCATCGGCCTGGACTTCCTACATTCATGATGGCCCTCCTCAGGTTCTGGCAAACCAAGGTAGCCGTCTTCCCTGATGTCATACAGGACACTCTGGGGAAGATGGGAGGCTGAGATTGCAGAAGGCTGTCTCTGCTTTTTCTCCCAACCCTGAAGATTGACAATCCCAAAAGCAGGACAAAGCTTGAGTCCAGTGGCACCTTCAGATACACGCACACGAAAGCTTCTACCCAGAATTAAACTCTGTTGGTTTAATTCTGGGTAGAAGCTTTTGTGTGCGTGTATCTGAAGAAGTCTGTGCGTGCACACGTAACTTCATACAGGCATTAAGAAGCCTGTGATGGGCCAATCTGGCCAGGCGGTGGCAGTGCGGCGCTACGACTCAAAAGCAGCCCAGGAAGAGCCAACGTCATCAAGCCAAGCCGAAGTGAATGCCGTCCGGAACACGTCTGAAGCCTACAGCTGAACAGAATCCCCATCGGCTGCAAACGTGTGCGATTTAAAAGAATTATATGTTGACCTCCCTTACCCCTATGAACAATTGTTAGGGTCTTGTGTGAAACCTGTGTAAGTGTAAATCACTCAGAGCCAGCAGCTCTGCCGGATTGAGCGATCAATAAATCGAAAGGTATATATACCCAGAATTAAACTCTGTTGGTCTTAAAGGTGCTGCTGGGCTCGAACTTTGTTCTGGTGCTTCAGACCAGTGCGGCTGCCCCCACCTGAATCTAAACCCAAATGTAGTGACTATTTAGACGCATGAGCTGATTGCTTGCTGAGTCACTGCACAGGAAATTCTACCTTTTCGGTACGGTGACCCATCCAGGGCTGGCCCAAGGTTTTCTGGCGCCCCAGGCAGACTCTGACCTCGGCACCCACCCAGTTCAGCCTTCTATTTTCTACAGTGGCTAAACAGATGTTTTGGAGAGACCAACCACCATCACACGAACCCAAAGCAAGTGGCACTCCGACATACACAGCCTTTGCATATGGAGGTTCCATCCCAGCCTTTGACCATCTTTCCTTCCCCTCTAATCCCCCCAAAGGTTTTTAAAAACTGACTCCAGTAACCGTCAAGACATGTTTCACCTGTTCAACACGTCTACGCAGTGAAAAGAAAAAAAAATCTCAGCTGAGATGTGACGTGGGATGCTGCTGTTTCCAGGGTCAGGTTTTGGAAAATGCCGTATCAAACCACAAACCCTCAATTCCCCCCCCCGCCCCTCGGGACCACCAGCTTGCACCAGCAGTGGCTCCTGACCACCTCATGCTAGGACACGCTGAGATTGGGGTGGCTTTGGTGGAGGGGTGGGCAGCATGCCCCCCCCCAGCCATCAGCCCACTGTGCTTTTCCCGGTGTCCTTTGGTTTCCAAAGTACGAGAGAGAGCAACGGTGAGAACAGGGGGGGCTACCAGGGGGGGCTGCCACACGACCCGTGCTCCCTCTAAGTTGTGGAGTCTCGTGAGCAAAAATTCTACTTTGTGAGCTAGTGGCATAAAAGTTGTGAGCGAGCGATTGGGCGACTGCATACAATAGTTTGCTCTGGAGCCACATCCTTCCTGAGCTAAGACAACAACCTGTGAGCCGGAGGCTACAAAGTTGTGAGCTGGCTCACACTAACTCAGCTTAAAGGGAACACTGTGTGATGTGACCCACTTTCAGAGGCTTGGCCGCCCGTTTTTGGGTCCTGGCCCACAGGCTGGAAAATGACCTACCAAACCACAAACCCTCAATCACGCCCCCCCCCCCCCCGACCACCAGTGGCTCCTGACCACCTCATGCAAGGACACACTGAGGTTGGGGTGGCTTTGGTGGAGGGGTGGGCAGCATGCCCCTCAGGCCCCCCCCCCCCCAGCCATCAGCCCACTGCTTTTCCCGGTGTCCTTAAGAACCAATCCGTGCCTTGGTGGAGAGCGGATAGAGGAAGGCTGTCCAGAAATCCGATGTTTAATAGCTCTGGTGCCATTCTCTCTTTCTCGGGGGCAGTCAAGGATTACTCAACCAGTCAAAGCACACAGGGCAGATACAGGCTCTGTTCTCCCAGAGGTATTTCTGCTCAGCGGAACAAGGCACTGGCTGTCTCTCCCCCCGCCCCCGCCCCCGCGTGTGGCTCCTCTGCCCCCCCCCCACTCACCGAAGTGTAGGCCCTCCCGCACATGCTGCAACAGTAGGCCTTGGCGTGCTTGATTGCGTGCGCAGAGAGGTGGATCTGGAGCGAGGCAGAGTCCGTGTAGGCCCGGTAGCAGTTTGGACACTTGTAGGGCTTGTCCTTGTTGTGCTGGCGTTGGTGAGACTGAAAGCAACGGTGGAGCAATCGTTTTTGGTCCCTCCTTCTAAGTGCGTTATCAAATTCCACCTCAAACTGCGCCCTGCAAGGTCAGGGCAGGAGCTGGTTCCTTGCTAGCTAAAGGGGGCGTTTCCCTGGTGTTGGGCTAACGCTGAGCCTTCAGTGGCAGGGCTGCAGATACACTTGCCCTGCCTACAGATGCTCAGAGGTTCTCCATGGCTTCAAAAGGGAATTAGATAAGCATACGGAGCAGAGGTCCATCAGTGGCTATTAGCCACAAGGTATAGATAGGGACTCTGGGGCAAGTGATGCTCTGTCTTCTTGGTGCTTGGGGGGGTCAACAGTGGGAGGGCTTCTAATGTCCTGGCCCCACTGGAGGACATTCTGATGGCACTGGTATTTCTGGCCACTGTGTGACACAGAGTGGTGGACTGGATGGGCCTTTGGCCTGATCCAACATTGGCATCTCTTATGTTCTTATGTTATGTTCAGACATTTCCCTGTCTCCTGTACCCTGTGAGGCAGAGCAGAGCTGTCTGATGTCAGCCCAGATTGTCACAGAAGGGGGCAACTCTCTGGAAGAATCGGGCATCTACAAAGCGCAACTGGAGGGTTCAGAGGGGAAGGAACACGTGGGGGGAGGCAGCCACTTTGCCCTGCTTGACCCAATGCAACAGCATCACGATGCGACACCAAACAGGGATGCATCCAACACTTTTTTTTGGTCTTCTCTGACAAGAGAAATTCTTTTCTGGGAAGCGCTTGCTCCTCATGCCAGATACATGGAGGCAGAATTGTGGTTAACCTGTAGCAAACAAACAGGACTCTGTGCATGTTCAAAGGCCCTCTGTCCCTTCCTGCTCTTTTACCATGCCTCTGGCATTGGAAAGGGGCAGGAACCAGGGCCTGGTCCCAGACTCTGATCTCCTGAAGCACCTTCCAAGTGGATATCTGAATGATCTGCATTGGGTTTGAATCGCCGTCTGCTGCTTTGAGTGCCAAGCTTTGGCTGTAAAGCAGCATCCAGAGGCGGCATGTCTTTCAAGCCCTCTGAATCCCACTCATTCTCTCCTGGCCAATCCCACTTCCCCCACCGCACGCTCTCCTCCTTACTGACCTGGAGGTTGGAGAGCTGTGTGAATGCTTTTTCACAGCCCGCGTGTGGGCACTTGTAGGGTCTGTCACCGGTGTGGATTCTGAAACGTGACAACAAAGAACAGGGATGTTTCAGTGCACGGGACAGAACCGATGCAAACACCACACACCGGTTTATTTACTGACTTCATTCATTCCCCGCTTTTATCCCCAATGGCGACCCAAAGTGGTCTACGTCGCGTTCTTCCCCTCCATTTTATCCTCACAACCCCGTGAAGTAGATCAAGACGGGCAGCCGTGTTCGTCTGTCTGTAGTGGTAGAAAAGTGCAAGAGTTCAATAGCCTCTGTAGCAGTAGAAAAGAGCGAGAGTTCAATAGCACCTTAAGGCGAACAAAATATGTAGCAAGGTGAGTAGAAGCTTTCGTGAATCAGAGCTCACTTCTTCAGAGGTTAGGTCGGGCTGAGAGAGTGGGACTGGCCCAATGAAATCCAGCAAGCTTCCACGGCAGAGCGGGGATTCGAACCTGGGTCTCCCGGATCCTAGCCTGACACTCTAACCACTGTGCCATGCTGGCTCTTGCAGGTTGATGAAACAGCAAGGTACAAATGGAGGGAGGAACTGGGTGCAGGAGGCCCCAGCAGACCAGGGTTTTTTTGCTTATTAAACCTGAAGCACTCAACTGACCGATTTCCTCCCAGGTTCTCTGTGTGCCCATGAGGACTAGAAACATCAAAGCACAAAGAATTCTGGGGAGGTAGCACATTTTGTTTTAGAGGCCGACTGCTTCCTCTTTTGAGATCAAATGCAGCTTTTGTGCCTGGCTCTCTCACATGTCAGTTTTGGGAGACCCCCACATTTCAGCTGCAAACGTGACAGAATCTATGGGGGGAGCTTAAAAGGGGAAGAAAAAAATTAAAACCCGCACCAAGAAAAATACTAAGGCTCCCGCTAATTATGAAAAGCGAGCAAGTGTGCGTAATTTATTCCTCAATGCTTACTAGCGTGTGGGATTCAGTTCCCTTTCGCGGATCACTGAAGTTCTAAGGATTATTATTACCATTGTTGCTCTGGACTCTTTTTCACCAACCGCTACTCAGATGAGTTTAGGCATAAATGTGCAGCCATAAGGACTAGGAACTTGATTGCTTTTTAAAAAAAACAAACAAACCTGGATTTAATTAAATGCAAACTGAGATTCTTGGAGGAGCTGAAACATACCCCCACAGCCCTATGCCCTTTTTCTACATTCTTGGGGAACTGTTATGCACACAGCCAGGGGGAAATTCCTGGGAGGATACGAAGAACAGGCCAGGTTTACCTCGGAGCAATGTTTCCTGACCTTCTAACCGCCAAGGCACGCTTCTGGAAAGTGGTAAGAATGACTTGTCCTCACAAGAGCCCAGCCTGTGTAACAGTATGAGCCCTGATCATCACCCAAGTAAATTGGCCCAGAGAAGTGATTCATGCAGAACCACACCAAGCAGCTTTCTCTGAAGACAGACAGTTCTGAAGCGTTGGGAAGGATTGGAACAGGTGACTGAAGAGGTGCCTCTGCTTTTGGGACGCTAACTAGAACGAGGTGAAGCCAGGGCAGTGAATTGGACAGATACACTGCAGCTAAACTCCTCTGGTGGGTGAGTACGTTGGGCTCTTTATTTTAAAAATGCATTTCTTATGACACAGCAGGCAGATCTAGCCCAGCCCAGCCCAGCAATGATTGAGAATTACTACCCTGGGAAAGCAGGGAAGATTTAAAAGCAGCCTTTGCAAATCTATCTACAAATGTCAGCAATCTCTTGGAATTTTTTCTAGCCTGTCTTACCACGTGTACTCTTTGTGGTACACCTGCGGGCCACGGCCTGTAAAAAGAGGGAGGAAAGCAGGGAAAAGAACCAGCTTCCCCATACTTTAATGGATATTTTAAAAACTGCTCATCTGGAGGCTCTTTTGAATCACACCAGGTGATTAGGAGAATGGCAGTTTGAAAGCCTGAATTATTTATTTGTTTGTCTGCCTTTCTCACTTGGACACAAAGCGGATTACACAGAGTGAAGCGATACAATTGACAGAGTGGGGTATTCAATAAGCAATACAAAAGGACTGGTGTTGCAAAACCAATAAGAAATCTAAAAACAGAACTGAAGCAAAGCAAAGCACAGTGAGGAAGGGTTGCCTCAGTGCTTGTGGCTCTTTCTTACACGCCCAGGGTAATGCTGATCGCCACTTTGGGGTCAGGAAGCAATTTTCCTCCAGGCCACTTTGGCTGGAGATCCTGGAGGTTTTTTGTCATCTTCTGGGCGTGGAACAGAGGTCACCGGGGGTGTGGAGGGGAAGGTATTTGTGAATTTCCTGCATTGTGCAGTGGGTTGGACTAGAGGACCCTGGAGATCCCTTCCAATTGTATGATTCTATAAACATAATTACCGAGTAGGATCCTAATTTCACTAAACTAAACACAGTAGCATAGACTACTGTCCCTAATAACTTATCTAAGTAACTTTGGGAATCACCTCGGACAGTGCAGCTCTATTGCCTGCACAGAAAAGCCTTCTTGAATAATTAAGTTTTGCACCGTTTGCGGAAAGCCAGGAGACTGGAAGCTTTCCTGACCTCCTCAGGCAGGCCGCTCCATACAGTGAGCGCATTTTAAGTGGAAGTGGATGAAAAATGTAACAGAGTGTCACTAAAGACTCCTTTGGACTCCTGCAGTTTCACCAAACACTGCCCCCCACACTTACAAGCTTATACATGGACCCGCTAGAATTTTGCTTCCCCCTCCATGAGAAACTGAGATTACAGGATGCTGCATATTCCGTCATCTCCCCCTGCCTCGCGCTTAACACCAAATCATCAGGAGGCCACAGGGAAGGGGACACTCACCTTGTATGTTGCTGGAGGTGGGAGAGTTGGCGGAACGATTTCTCGCAGTAGGAGCAGTGATAGGGCTTGACGCCCAGGTGGATGCGGAGGTGCTGTGCCAAGTAAGAGGCGTTGGCGAAAGACTTGGAACAGTGCGGGCACTTGTGGGGCTTGGCCTCGGTGTGCGACTTGGAGTGGATCTGCATCTCTGACTTGGTGAAGAAGGTAAGGGGGCAGACTTTACACCTGGGGGAGGCAAGGAGGAGGAAGAAGTCTCATGATGCACAGCGGCTTCCAAACACAAGGAAACATCTTCCGTTTCCCATACATGGGTACATTCCCCACCCACCCCCTGAAGATGGTCATATCCTCCTCACCCAAATCAAGTCAATTTGCTATACTTTTGATGCATGAAATCCTAACCCTATAGCACCCCATACGCAGGATTGTGGACCTATTTGGTCCAAGATGAAGAGGCTTTGTTAACATGCAAAACTGCCTGGTATAGGGGAGTGGTCTAAAGTGGCAGTGAATCTCTGTGCTCTGCTTTCTGAATACTGAACATCAGAGATCCCCCACCCCGGCAAAAAAAAACACACAACCAGATGCAAAATGGTGGCTCAGGAACCAACTACTTCTTGGACCCCAAGTGTGGGATGGCTTGCAGATTCTAGCAGCAACACCCCGCCCCCAATGGCCAGACACAGAGCACCAATTAAGAACAAGACCTCCCGCCCCCAAACAACTAGACAAAGAGCACCAGTTAATGTTCATATTTGGCAGGTGAGGATGGCTGAGATGGAGAGAAAAGTGCAAGGCCAATCACGGACACCGTGGTACAGATTTACTGCTCAATTTGCTGTTTTTTAAAGGAGCGGTAACCGGCATCAGTGTTCTTTCCAAGCATCAAGTCCCACTCCGAAGCCAAGGCAGTTCCTTCTGTTACAGGGTGCCACCAGTCGGTGTTTATCAGAGACACAAGGGAAGAGGGATGAGTGAAAAAGGAAGGACTGATTTGATTGGTCTCACAAGGAAACAAGCAGAGAAGCAAGGGCCTAGAACATCATGGCTCAAGTTCCCAGAATCCTGCTGCCAGTGGCTAAAAGAAACTCCCCCAAGTCTCGCCACCGGGACTCTATATAGTTTCATAAAATAGAAGGCAGGGAAGGAAGAGGGACCAGTCTGAGAACCAAATTCTATGTCTGGAAATACTAGGTGGGATGCACTTCATGGACTGTGCCTCTAGGGTTATGAAGATGGGGGAACCATGCTCAGCTGGTTCCCTAATTTTTAAATGCTCTTTCAGTGTTTTTAAATGCTCTTTTAATGTTTTCATTAACTATTCGGTATTACGTTTTGTGTTGCCGAATGGCCAATTATAGTGTGATCCACCCTGAGCCCGTCTGGGGGGGAGGGCGGAAGACACGTCTGAAAAATAAATAAATAAAATATTTCAATAAACACCCTCCTTTCTTCGGGAATGCTAGGATTCCAATCATGTCCTCTCCTTGATACCTTTCTTTTTAAATGCAGAATTGTTTTCTTTACTGTGAAGAAAGTATCCAAAACTGACAACCCGCCCCACTGGCAGTTAGAAGTGGCACAATCCAGGAAGGCCCATTTATTCATTTTTATTTTTAATGCAGCACCCTTAGTTAAGAAGCATGCTGTTTCCAGAGGTCTAATGCGATTCTCGGAGAACGCCACTAGAGCACTAGGATTCTGGTGGAAAGGGGGTGCGATGTTCCCTCTAAGCTGTGGAGTCTTGTGAGCAAAAATTCTGCTTTGTGAGCTCCTGGCATTAAAGTTGTGAGCGAGCGATGTTGGCTACTGCATAACCTAGTTTGCTCTGGAGCCATCCTTCCTGAGCTGAGACAAAAATGTGTGAGCTGGAGGCTAAAAAAAAACTGTGAGCTAGCCACACTAACTCAGCTTAGAGGGAACACTGGCGTGGGCCTCCGGCTCACACATTTCTGTCTCAGCTCAGGAAGGATGGCTCCGGAGCAAACTAATTTATGCAGCGGCCAAATCGCTCGCTCACAACTTTAATGCCAGTCGCTCACTGTTGTGTCTGCTGACCGCCACCAGGGACCAGCGAATACCCCAGAGCTTGACTCTGGAAGAACAATGAGGCCTAGGCTCCTGGTCCCTCCACTGGGGGACCAATGGGACTGTGGCGGGAGATTTAAACCCACCAACGGGACCTGG